TAATACAAGAAACTTTCTTCAATATGCTACTTTTGTGGATTTTGAATTATCTAAAGCAGACAGAGAACCACACTTAATATTATCTGTCTATCTCATCCGTTATACAGCTGAGAATTGTTAAAAGTGCCTTCATGCCGGGTAGCTCTGTGGTATTTGCTAAACCCACAACCCCTTAAATGGGTGTCCTTCACTAATGGCTAACCATATTCCCAGGTTGCTCCAGCAAATCCTTGATGGTGGTCTGGAGACTGCAGCCCATGTTAAATGTGTGATAGCAGGTGTTTCAGGTTGTAGTCATGGTGGCTTGTTTTTGTCTTTCTGTTTGATTACTGTTTCTGTGTTCAGCATGGCTGAACACTGAACCGCACAGCAGCACAGGCTATCTATCTTTCCGCACCACACGCACACACACACGCACACACACACACACGACAAAACAAAGTAGAGTCCAATTTATAAAAAACACCAGCTGTTCACACTCATCAAAACTGGCTATCATAGACACTGCACTGCATCTGAGACAATAGGACACACAATAGAATCTCTTTTACATTAATGAATTCAACCAACTGACATATGAATATGAACTAAACTGACACCACGGATGAAGCAAAATGTGGCTGTTTAAACATTGACATACACCCCAGGTCAGTAAATGGTTTACCTGGCCCCTGTGGCCCCACAGCAACAGCTTTGAGAGTGGGCACTTTGTCTGGTTCTGACCTTCATTTATCAGGTTGTTTATTCACCCGTTTGCACAGTCCAGCCTGCCAGCAGGGATGTGGGAACAGTTGATGATGGATTAACAGAGAAAGACATTAGGATTGGTTCAAAGCCAGGAGATGAACTCTGTGATTTGGTTCGTTATGCTTCCCTCCCAAAACCCTCCCTTCCTCTTCTGCTCAGTCTCTCATTCTCTCACACTCGTTGCTCAAGCCTGCTGTTACTTTCTCACATTTAATACAACTCACTTTTTGTATTTTTAACATTTTATCTCATTATTTTGTCTTTTTATCCCTGTGTTTCCTTTCCATTATCTGTTCAATTTTCTCCTTCTTCACAAACAATTAATCAATATCCCGCAGCCAGATGCAAGTCATCTATCTCTCCCTCTCAGCCCTTCTTTTGCTCATGTGCATGCTGGTCTCTGTTTACGCTCTCTGTCTTTTTCTCTATTCATTATTTCTTTCTCTCTGTTTGTGTCTTCAGTGGCTGTGTATGGAATATAAACTGCACAGAGAGAGGATGTCATGTGATATTGTGCTTCCCTTTTCACTGTGATCAATGCGGCTTGTTAACATGCATATGCTTGTTTCTATTGAGCCTGGCAACATCTGATCAATATCCGTAGTATAGACACTCATCACTAGCCGCATCCTTCTCAGTACGCATGTGCTCACAGATCAATAACAATGATCCCACTTCATTTACATCCAGAGACCATTCACAAAACAACTCGAGGAGAGTATAATCCTCAATAATTCTGATATAAATCTGCCATAACTGTACATGTCAGCTGGAGTACCCCAGTCTTAATGACTTGTCCTTTTTTATTTGACAGTGTACAAAAGGTAACGGCCTGCTCTATTATCGAAATGATAAGGAAACGGAGAGCGCCTCCATTAAAACATAGAGCATTTCAGTATTTTATTCATACCATCATCTCTCTTTTTTTTTTCAATGCAGCCCCCTTACCTTCTCCTCATACTGCTTCCACTACTTTTCTGTCTTTTACTATATGCTGTGAAAGGGCTTTTCCACTGCTTGCTGGGCAACAGTCCAGCAGAGATCTTGAGAGATGGAGGCAGAGAAAGGACCAAGGAGAGGAGAGAAAAGGGAGTGGAGGGGTGGGGTGGAGGTGGACTGAGGGATTGCCCAGAGGGTGGCTCCTGCCAAGGTGGCACAGAGGAAGGTTTGTATCTGTGTTTGCATTAGTGGTCCCGTGTGTCTTAGCAGCCGCAGCAAAGGACCAGTTTGCAGCATCCCAGATCTGTTGTTGAGGTTCTGCTGCCAAGGCCAACAGTGGGGCCACACAGCCATCTGTCCACATGTACCAACACACTGGTTAGCGGCCAACGACTCAGAGAGTCAACCTCTCCCTTCCGCTGCCTTTTAGAGCCAGAGATCAACTGAGCACTAAAGGCATGATAGGCTAATATACGAGTGCATTTCAATCATTTCAATAGCTATGAGCCATTTGAGTGGACATGTCTTGTCATTATAGTGTTTAAATGACATCATATTATCTCACGGCCAGCCTCATTACAGGCAGACTTCAGACCCAAGGAGAATTATAATTTAAAAGCAAAATGAAGTCCATGTGACCCTCAAATAACCCTCCGTCCACATCTCTTGATTAAGGTCAGTCGTGCTCATTGGATATGCATTCAACAGTTTTCAGTTTTGCCTAATATTAGCTTTATTGATTAATTTGTATACCAATTTCAGATTATATAACGAGTTGTCAGGGTACAAACTCTGCTCTGAACTATTATCTATGGCACTTTTGCCACAGGTCATCAGTTTATGCTTTTTGTTGGTATGTCTTGTTTCCTGATATATTGCCTCATAAAGTAATGTAATGTCAGTGTTGAATATTAATACATTTGATGTAAGAAAAATGTGTTCTGGAAGGAAATGTGATGACACTATCAATCACTATAACAAAATCAGGGAGTGTATCTTTAATCCCAGGTTTAGAAAGTTTTAATGGAATCTTGAGACAACGCCACTGAATGCCAATCACACTTCAGCAAAGAACACGTCATCATAGGACGATGACAGAAAACACTGATATATGGCATGGTATTCAGCTGTTATGTCCTGTGCCTGCTTCTGTGTTGCCACAACCCAGATTAGCAAGAGTATTAGAATACAATAGGCAGTCATCCCAGCTATGTCTTATTAAATGGCCCAGTGCCGTGCTCTGTGTTGTCTGAGCTCTCCTCTGTGTTTGATATCTCATTTTGCATTCCCTCTGTGCACAGCCCTCATTATCGTATTCCTATGGAGTGCACTGGCGTTTGACATACAGACACCAAAGACTCTGGCAGCATTGCAGATCAACTGCCTCTCACAGCAGTACTCTCTCCCTGTCTCATTGTGTCTCTTCCTCTCATCTTGTCTTGCCTCTAGACCTCAAACAGGTGATGGACCTAAGGGATCACTGACTGTCACTTGTTTAAGCATTCATTTGATTTGAATCAGGTCACTGTGCGTCTGCGGTTAGATCAGTGTGTATCTGTGTGCGGCGTTGGAGATGACAGGGAGGCGAGGCAAGCATGAGGCTGATAAAAGGAGTGTATTTTTGCCATTTGAGGGGTTTTATTATCACACAGGCAGATATTACAGATGATCTCAACCACGTGATCTGTGATTTATGCTTCTGTTTTTTTGCGCCAGTGGGTTCATTGTCTAATGAGTAATGCAGCCAATGTGTTGTAAATCAGTCCTTTGGTAAATCATTTGATCGTGATATAATAATGGCAGGAGGGACAATATTGCTTTACTGGAAAATGTCAGTGGTTTAACGGGGCAGAAGTCAGTGAATGTGCGTGTGTAACTAGGGAAGCGATGTAGAGGGGAGACTTTGATCCTGTTTTTTCAGGAACAGTCATTTCTCAATGTGTTTTGGCTCAGAGTTTCATCAATGACTTACTTGATCTAAAACGATACAAGCCTCAAAACGTGCTTCGCAGTAAACTTTCTGGATTACTCGACACACTCCCCGAAGCCTCAGCACATAACATCACTATAAATACCGCTTCTGCTCACCAGAAGATACTTTATATTGTCATGATGGGAACTTCTCATGTTCCTTGCAATTGCAACTGGAATGAACTCTCTACCGCTTAACAGACTTTTTGGTGTGTTGTCTTGTTTGCGTGCGGTGTGTGACAGCCCTTTGATTCATTTTGGTGAGAGATGTGTCCATTTTATATTTAGTAACAAAGATACTTTATGTTTACTTAAGGTCAAGTCAGTCTTTTAATATAGCCCAAAATCACAAATCACATAGTTGTCTTAAAGGATCTGCACGACATACAACACACTCTATCCTTAGACCCTCAATTTGGATAAGGAGAAACTTTACAAGAAATCCTTTTGCAGAAAAAAAGGTAGAAACCCCAGGACGGACAGATGTCCAATAAACAGACTACACTACAATAACAACAATAGTAAAATTATAATGTGAAGAATCTGAATGACAATGTCAGGTAAATAAAGTCCACATATGCTCCACTCACTAACCTTTTTTTCTGGGGCTTTCAACATCATCTCACAGGCTTCATCAGCTGATTGAGTTTGCTCAGCTGTGACGGAGATGGCTCAGGTGTCATATACTTTGTTTTGTTTGCAGTTCTAACGTTGGACCCACAGCATGTTAGTTTTTACTCATACAACTTAACAGTCAAAAATAATAGGTCATCATTTTGTCTTTGTTCAGTTCTTGCTTATCATTGAGTATTTTTCATTTTTAGAGCAGATATTCACTTTCCTTCTGTGTTTGAGGTCCCTTCAGTCTGTTCCTATTTCAGCTTCCTTCTCCTAAGCAGTGAACCTCTTTTGTTGACCAAGCTTTCTTTTGGAAAGAGGTTCCCCCTCATTGGTCAATGTTTTTTAGATCGGCAAGATAGAAAACAGTGAGTTGCTGTTTTGATGAAGCACTTGGCAATTTAAAATAGTAAACTATATTTATTTATGTGAAAGAAGTAGATACAATACACACAAAAAACATATATAGTTGTTGTTGCTTTTTTGCATAAATCATTACATTAAATGGGTTCCAACTGTCACTTAAAACAAGCCATATCCATTTGTTTTCCTTTGGTTGCATGAGCACATTATATCTTCTCTGAGCAAGGAGGGAATTAGTAAATCAACAGTATTAGCTATTGAAGTGTTATGTATAGCCTGTGGCATGTGTTGGGATGAGGCCAGATGGACAGCTGTGATCCTATTACCTCTGCTAATTCTCACTGTTGTGTGTCTCCCTCCAGATCCTGCCTTCCCACAGTAGACAGTACACATGGACAGGTTTGGTTCTTCTGTTCATTAACTCTGGGCAGACCTCTGAGTTCTCAGTCTATCCATTCAGAGAGCAGGGCTGACCACGCTTCATGGTACGTGTCTCTAAAGAAGGATTTTGTTCATATTTGGTGTTGTAATTAGATGCTTGCATCAGTGCATTGTACTCTGTGCTGTGTTGCCTTTTTAGTGAAATGTGGGGAAGGTATGCTCTCACAGAAATGCATGCGTGTTTGGATATTCATTAAATCTCCTGAATATTTTTTATACACAAACAGGTTACATGAAAGCAGGAGCTTTTCTAAAAAATAAAATGATAAAGTAGAATAGAGTTAAACATATTTGTTATGAAAACCATATGATTGAGCCAATGATGAACACATCTTTGGATCATAATCACAATCTAAATAATTTGTATCTATCAGGCTTAAAATGGGGAGAAAACGAGTGCACACGGAGGGCAGACAGGTGGGAGACAGTGCTGATCAGCAGCTGGATGACTCACGTGCGGCTCATTCATGTTTTAGACAGTGCTGGTTGGTCGACTGAATATGGCTCTTCCACTTGTAAAACACCAGCTTTTCTCTTTAAAATATTTCATTAAAAGGACAGTAAGGTAAAGTGAAGAGGAGAGCTAGAGAGTAAGTGAAGACATGTAGTTCACAATTTTTATTTTTAAATTTGTGTATCTGTGTTAAAATCGTAGCTGTTCTGACAATTTTTTGCAATAATAGTCTTAAAAACCTAAACAGACAACACACCAGACTAAAGCCGAAGAAAAATATAATTGAAACAATAGAGCTTTGAGCAAAGATTCCTGGTTATCTATACATCTGCTATGTTATTTAAATGCTGCCTGAATGTCAGCTCTCCCCACCTGCATTGGGAAATGGCACAGAGAGGTGTTTAAAGATGAATGATTATGAAAAATAAACATCATTTTTGTTAAACTGTTTAAATGGCTGGTTTCAAAATGGCAGTAATTGTCTTGATGTGTCAATGCTTTTGCATTTGAGACATTGTTATCATGTCCCTGTCTAATATGCATGATGACTTCATTTCCTTTTCTACCCAAGTCTGTCTCATGTTGCTTATCAGTTGGTTGACAAAAAGACTTGGTAAGATGGAGGATAAGAAATGTTGTTAAGATCTTATCTTTATTTCCTGTACAGGAAATGTACTCAGGGTGGAAATAGTGAAATGAAGGATATTTTATAAGGTAAATTGTCATTATCTATTTCAGTAGACATTAGTTTTCTAATTGTTTAAAAACATGACCAAGGAAACATCATGTGATCACTGAGCCCTCTTAACCTCAAACGTACGTAACCACACATGCACTCACTTCATTAGTCCCACACTATCGTAATGTTCCAACTCCTCCAGTAGAACAGAACTACCACACAACACCACGCAGTTATCCTCTGTAGAAATGTATTGACAAGCACTGCTGCATTAGTGTGTTTCTCACGACGTCTGCTTGCTCTGCCTGCAACAACAAGCTGATGTTTGTCAATTTGATCATGAAAGTTCATATCAACAGACAGACTGTACACACAACAACCATGTAGCGACATTTCAGACAACTTTTGAAGTATGCGAGGGTATTTCAGATTTTATGAGCACGGTAACTTGCCTTTCCACCAGTTGGGTGGAAGTGAACAAATACATGCTTAACATCCATTTCAAGAATTACTCAGTTAGTTAATTTTTCTTTTTAATTCAATTATGTTTGCTATGTTTCTAAAGTGCATTTTAATTGGTACTCTCAATTGGTAACATTAATTCGTACATTTAAAAAATTTTGAAAGTATGAAATTAGAATTTCTTTAAATTTTTCCTTTTTCAGCAAAATTAGTTTGAATTCATATTCATTATAATCATAAACTACTTTAATTGGAGTTCTGCATCTTAAACAGAGCAAGGACACGATTAGCTTATTATGACAGGCAGTGCCCCAGGCATCAAGCAGGATATGATCTTTATCACACTCACCATCAGCCCTCTGAGTGTTATTCCAACCACCACCTGACATTTACATTCACTAATCATGCAAAGTCACTTCAGTTCCTGGATGCAGAGAGTAAAAAGAGAGAAAGTACAAGGGCAGATAAGAGGACACGTCAAAGGCCTACAAAGTAGAGAGTGAAAACGAGAGAGGAAGGCTAACATGTGTTATGTATTTAACCAGTTGTGTCCTTAGTTTCAAGTTAAGAATGAGATAAATTGATTAGTACCCATATAGAATTCAGTTTTGAATATTTGTTTTGCACACTTCTCGCTCTCTTCCTCTGTCTTCTTGCCATTCGTCATTTGTCTTAGTCATTATCTTCCAAAACATGCAAATTGAATCATAATTATGCAGACATCTTAAAAAGGAGTATGGAAGGGCTGCTTTCCATCTTGCCTGGTTTGCCGTTTCTCCGAGACCTCTGCATAAAAGCCTGGCTGCCTCCCCAGACTCACGATCCCATTTCTTGTCTGGCCAGCTGGTTTCAAAGTAATGTGCTGAGGTTTGATGTTAAAGAGCCATTTCTTTTCCCATGCCGGTGTAAAATCACCATCTGTCTCAGTGTCTGCTCTGATTTAAGTAGTCTCTCTGCCAGACCAGCGTGCAGATGCAACCCCACGAGACCAGCGTCTCACCTCGTTGCCTGTACACTTTTTCAAAGCATGCATACTGCATATGACTACTGTTTATTACTTGTACTGTAACGTCTTCTCAAATAACACATATTTTGACTTTTTTGCCCAAGACACCGTCATACTGTAGTGTACCCAATACTTAGATATATGAAGCTAGCAAATATTTGTACAAACTCTCAGTTTGTGTGGTACTTACGATTACTTCGTTTCATTGTGCTTCTACACCCACGACAGCCCTTTTTGTGTATAGTTTGTGTGGCTTATATGTTCTTGGTGGTTTTCGTCCAACAACAGGACTGCCTTAGTTGATGTCTGTGCATTGATGTCATCGTCAGTCAATAAGTTATGTCAAAAAAGGAATTATCCCTTTAATTATTTTCCCTTTATCAGAGGTTGGCTTTAGGTCCCACAGGTCTTCTCATTCATGCGTATCTGTGCACTTGCTTATACAAACACATGGACACACAAAGTATTTTAAATAGTAATTATAAAACGCAGATCTAAGGCCCTTGCCTGGTAATTTGTTCCAACAGCAGCATTTGAGAGACGAGATTCGCATGTTGTGCATAAGCATATTGGTAAAAGAGAGGAAAAGGACAAAGCCTGCCTTTAGACCGACGGTTAATTGACTCAATTTCAAATGCATGCTTCTCTCTCTCTGACTTTTATTCCCTCTCTCTTTATTTATCTATCTTCCTCTCTGTGATCCTCTGGGCTAAATTAATGAGAGAGCAGTGAAAGGGTGTTTACAAGATTAACAAATGCCTCAACACTTAGTCCGTGTATATGAGCGTTAGTCGGGGTCTGTGCTGTCTCAAAGGGGCTGTGACTATTACACCAGCATACAATCTACCAGATGCTTTAGTTTTCATCACAGCCCTGCATCTCGCCGAACTGATCTAGAACTATTATACCTGAACAATCTGAAAGGGCTTGTATATTATACAGTGGAATAGCTAGTAGGACTGTCAATGAGAAGCCATGTAATATCTGTCCATTATCAGTTTTTACTGTCAACCCAAAATTCATTAATGTTCTTGGCTCAAGGGAAGGGATTATCATAAAGTTATATACCTTAATCACTTTATAGTGAACAGACATGGGCAGTTTTCTCTGTTGCTTTATTTTTCCTTTCTCTCATCACCGATCCTCCTCTCGCTCTTGCTCTCCCTCTCTCTCTCCGTCCTTTTCTCCCTCTAAGCCTTTGTAGGCTTAGAAGTGATTCCACCAAAGAACATTTTTATACAAAATCTGTCGCCTCAATCTGGGACTGTTCCCGTACATGAAGGCGACTTAGCACTGTAGAAGATATTTTATTCTTTCTTTTGCGAATACAGAGTCATGCGTTGATATCGAGCAAGTTTCTGCAAGAAATAGATCTTGACCACCTTTCCACATCAGTAGAACATTTCCTGCTCCTGCTGCATTCAGCTGAGCAGTTGTGGGACTGATAACTGTCAGTGAAGAGATTCTCAGAGCTCGATTCCGGTCTCCTTGGTGAGTAATTATAAAGGGTTTGATCATGAAGTTACAATAAGCTGTTTAATTTACAGGCTGTCAGCAAATACTTGCACAAAAGATATTTACACACACAGCAAAATGTCCCCTCATGTTTAAGAGAGCGACAGGTAATTACCATTGGCAAAGGGTATTGACACCACCAACGGACAGATGAGAGGATATGCTCCACTGAATTTTTCCTTCTAATTACTTTCTCCCATACACTTATGGGAGCCTCAGCCGTGTGAAGGGGTTTAGTGTGGTTTACGTGTTCATGTGTTTTTGAGTGTAGCATGTGAGATATGCCTGTGTTTTGACCTCCCAGTGCCGAAGGGAAAGGTATTGTACCTGTCTGCTGTTGCATATTCTGAGGATGCTGTTCTGCCAGAAAAGCATCTTATAAAGCCGTTAGCAAGATAAAGGTGCACATTTTTTCCCTAACAGTTACTCTATGAACCAATTGTAGCTTCTTTTGAACTAAATTACTTCAACACTCATTTCGCAAACACTTTTGTGACAGTACTATTTGTTTGGTTAAATGCCTATCTATTTTTAGCTTTAGGCCCAACTCAACTGTATGAATCAGCACTCTTTTATATCAGTGGTAACAGGTTTAGGAATTAATTTGCTTAATTTACTCTATTTACTTGAACCTAGCTTCCCAATGAATCATTTGTTTGCAAGAAAATATTTTAACTCAAGATTATAGCAAGGGTGTAATGGTACACAAAATCCACAGCTCAGTATGCTCCTCGGTTTTGGGATCACAGTTCGGTATGTTTTTGCTGATAAAGAGAAGACAGAAAAGGTATATTCAACATTACAAATCCGCTGATTACTTCTTACTTTCACAATTATGCCACTCAAATACTGGCATATTGTGTGTATAGTATAGTATAGTGTGGTCTTATACTCCGCAATAAACACTATAGCATTAGTAACTGCCGCA